GTAACCCAATTCAAAACAACCACCTTAATGTTTTTCCAACAATCATTTTTTTTTTTTACAGATTTTCACGAAAAAATAAAAATGAACTAAAAACTTCGAAATACAAATCAATCGACTCAGTTTTCGATCCTGATTCCGAATATGATAATTTTATTGCATAGTATTTGAATTCTGGTTGAGAAAATTGAGAAGTGGTCAGTTTTTTGGCACTAAAAATGATTTAAAACGAATTTTTCAGAGAAAAAAAGGCAAAAATTAAAAAAAGTGGTTCGAACGATCGATAGAACTTGAAGAGTTCTATCGAATGATATATCGCATGATTTACTTCCATTTGTTATAATATTAGAAAAATTTACCTTGTCCACTAGAGTACCACTAATTAGTGCTAACCAGAACTAATTAATAATTAACAAACGGTCAAAAATATCATTTTTAAACTTTTTTGTATGGAATTATATCTACAAACAATTCTCTATAAAACTATACTACAATCAATTGAATGTAACATTTATATCGAAAACTAGAAAGGTTTCAAAAGATGCGTCTCAAACTAAAAGTTTCAGTTAATTTTGAACTTAGTTAATTAATAACTTTGTCAATACTTGACCAACGAGTCTTTTATTGCATAGGCATACCAGCTAAGGTGTACTCTACAAACTGGTAAAGTTTGAGGGTGGGGGACACCCCCTAAACATGAGGGGGGGTGTCCGGATACCCCCCTTAATGCTGGGAAATTGATTCTTAAGCGGCAGTACAAGACATCAAGACGTCTATTAGACGAGGATGGCATTCTGTTAACGTGTCCACTTATGCTAAGTCTTAAACCTTTCCGGAATAAGATAGGTCTCCGTCTTGAGCATACGCTTGGGTTTTTGACTAGTAGTTCGTTCCAAGCACGAATTGCTGAGGGAAAGAACGTTGACTGAAACATAGAACTTTTTCCCTTATAATCGAATAGCTCCTCTGTGATGTTTCTTCGAAGATAATGGTGATGTGACTCAGGTTCAACTTAACGCACATGGTGCTGTTCGTGGATTTTTACAAAACCATGACGTATTTTGAAAAAGATAGACATACGATTGACATAGAATAAATCTCTAATCGAAAGCCAGTTCAAGTCGCCCAATAATTTGACTTTATCAGAATCTTCCATTGCTCCGCTTGTAGTAATGGCTATTTGATACTATAGTGAATGCAATTTAATTAGATTGTTTTTGGCGACTAGTATATTTCGCTGCCATAGCTTAAGATGGATAAGATGAGGGATTTATAATATATGTCTAGTACCGGTCTTCCTAAATCTCATTTTAACAGCCTCATATAGTTATGAATACGACTCACTCTCCCAATTACATCACTTATGTGAGCGTCCCATGATAAGTTCGATGTAAGTATAACGCCTAGTTGCTTTTTGATTTGTACTTCTTTGATAGTTTTTCCGCAGATGGACAAGGGTTAGTTATATTTACTTAGAGAACTTAAGCTTCTTACAAAGGTCATACTTCGCATTTATCCAAATTCAAATCTATTTGCCACTGCGAACACCAGTTCGATATTTTAGTTAAGTCATTATTTAGTTTCTGACCGCACGCATTATTGGAGAATCGAACAAAGCTGCATCATCAGCGAACAGTTTAAGAAGACACTCAAGTTCTTCTCCCAAATCATCGATACATACAAGAAATAACAAGGGGGCAAGTATGCTCCCCTGGGGCACTCCACAATTTATGTCCTTTTCACCAGAAATACTTCCATTTACAACTGTCCTGATTTTCCTATTCTTCAAATAGCTTTCAATCCATGTAACTACTTGTTCGCAAACCCCTTTCTTCCTTAACTTATATAACAGGCCGTTATGCCAGACACAATCAGATGCAAGTGCAAAATCAAGAAAAACGGCACGCACAAACTTGTGATCTTCAGTACTCTCATTTATAAAGTGCAGCAGAGTAACTAACTGATTAACGCATGAGTCACGCTTTATGAAGCCAGATTGGTGAGTGGATATTAGTTTGTTTGATAAAAGATAGGAATACAAATAGTTATAAACGGTTCTTTCCATGTCTTTTCCTAGGATTGACAATAGAGTTATAGAATGATAATTTTGGACAATGTGAGGATCAGTCTTTTTATGTATTGGGCACACTTGACCGACTTTGAAAATGTCAGGAAAGGTTGATGTAGCTAAGCTTTCATTTATTAAGTCAACAAGCATGGGAGTAACTACTGGTTCAGATCCTTTTACTACCTAGAAGGTAAGTCGTCGAAAACTGCCTTCCTAGTATTTAGTTCTTTTAAAATAGTATGCACGTCGAAGTACGAGACAAAAAATATTACGCATTTTGTGTGGTGTGGTTTTTACAAGAACAGGTAACGGTTTATTGAAATTGGCAGTAGGCATTGTGCACACAGAAGCAAACAAGGAATTAAAACGTGCCGCTTTCTCCAACGGGATATCTGTTGCTGCTCCATTCGTAGAGTTTATAGGTGGAATTATATTGTGCTTAGTACGACAAAGCGCGCAGTTAACCAAAGATCACCATGCGTTGTTCGAAGATGAGATCCTAGGTCAGACCATGGAAGTAAAGCTAGATTATTCCGAAAGATATCTCAATTGGTGGCTCTATAGTTGAAAGTAAACGGTCTGCTTTTTTGTGGTTGAGTGTACAAGTTTTTAAGAAAACTTCCACGCTGAAGTGATCTTATTCAGTCAATAATTTGACTATATTGGGAGTAACGTCGACTTTGGTAATGAGCGATACATTATTTGTAATAACAACATCCAAGCAGGTGTCTGATGCGAGTTGGTTTACAAACCAGTTGTGTGAAACCGTTATAATTAACGTAATCACGAAGTTTAATGCCTTCTCTCATAGAAAATTTACTAGAAGTACACGAGTCAGAACAGTGGGCATTGATATCTTCGAGCAAGATGACCGCATCAAATGATTTACACTCTCCTGGTCGATTTGCATTATGTGACATTTTCTTGATAAAAAATAAAAGTGATGCTAGGAGGTCTCATCTCGTCGCCTGACACAGAATTCCAGGATGCAAGAAGACATTTCTAATATACGATACAATGTCTGTTCAACATAACAGACGAAGAAGTCTATGTTAGTCATAAAGAAAGGGAAAGAAACGCAACATATACGCTGTAAACGATAAGAAATGAAACACAAGCATGGGTGCATCTGACTAGTCAAACGAAAATGTTTAATACGAACAAAATACTTGTTATACTTATTCAGCTCCATCTCCACTGACCACGTTTTGTTTAGGATGTTTCAAATGCTATATCTGACACGACTCGAAAAGGATCCTCTTATTTTTGTTCTGGAACGTTTAAGAATCGTAGATTAAAAGATCTGTTATACCACTCCGTTTCATGAAGATGTGCCTGGATATCATCAATGCGATTTTCAAATTCTTTCAAACGTTTTTCGATTTTGGCACAGATTACCGATTCCACTATATTTAATAAGGAAATATTAGTAATATCAAGATCATTACTTGTGTCAGAATTTGCTTTTGAATTACTACTACTGGGACTATTTGATTGGTCAGTACTGGTCTGTTGCTGTAGAGAAGCTATTTGTGAGCGTACAGATTGATCATTGTTAATAATTTCATTTAATTCTGATCTCAGATTGAGATCGAAACCAGATTTGAGAGTTAAACGACCACTTTTATTTACCTTACTATGACACGAGACATACTTGAAGTTATTTGTACTGCACAGCATAATATATTGCGTAATCTTCTTTCCATACGAATGACATAGACGTGTTGACAGTACAAGATAAAAAATAGAATGGAAAACTAGAAAGGAGATTTCCGACCCCTTACACCATTTTTGCTACAGCTTTTAAATGCAAGCTCAGTCGAGCTTGAGAGACATCCCATTTTGTTGAGGATTGAACGAGCTATCGGATGGTGGGTTGAAAAAAAAATTTCAAAGTTTTCTGGATCTTGCAGGATTTCTGGAAAACCAGAATTTTTCAGAGATCTGTTAGACCTGTTCCGGTGTATAAGCGCGAACATTTTTCATTGATCTGTGTTATGTTATGCTTTCTATGAGATAGATGAATGAGCTCCAAAGACCCGTGTTCTGTAGCACAACTAACAAAGAACTAACTAAGTGCCAGTGAATGGTATGAATGCTCACTGGACATACTAAATCATTAATCCTCTTACAGTATATTATCAGAAAAAAGTATAACAAAAAACATTCTATATCATATAAAGTAACGAAGAGAAGATTATCGTACAAAATAGTCAAACGAAACAGGCGTTTTCACAGTAAAATTAGGACGGAAGAAAAGGAAGAATTGAATCGTAACAACGAGAGAAAAGAGAAAATAGTAAACATAACTGTATATGTACATGCATATACTAAAGAATGAATAGTATGGATAGCCTGGACGTGAAGAAGAAAGGACTAAACGAGTGAAACAGTGCAAAATGCATCTCAGACATAACAATCTGTATAGATCTCAACGTCCTCTTTGATTTGAGACCAAACTCAAGGTTCCGCGACAGGAATAATAGGTCGAAAAATGATTTACCAAAGAGACTGTTCTACTGGAAAATGCTCAAAAATAGCAGTTTTCGCTAGGAGAGTATATTGACTGTATCTTTTTTCATACATCAATAGAGATCTGCGGTTTTCACCATTGGAATCAGCGTACAAAACTGAATCAAAAAATATGTATCTCGTCTTTTGCACCAAAAGTCGATGTAATGGTGGTAGGTTCTATATGGATGTATCCTTCAGACAGACATTAAGCATATAAGCGATAAAGCTCTGCACAGTAATGATCTCGTTTTACTCAAAAATATAGTCTATGTCTAGCTTCGAAAAAACCGTTATGCGGCAAGGAACGTGTCTTTTCTTTCGAGAAGGCTATGTCGCGCCGATAAGCGCTGTATAGCATATGGTGACAAGGAATATATATCAAACATCGGCGAACTTTGAAAGAAGCAAAATTTTGTTAAATCTTAGCTTTCTTGCCTTTACGTCATCTTGACTTTCAGGATCTCGGAACGACATGAACTCACTCAAACACTTACCTAAATGTGTATCACCATTTATAGCAAGTACTGTGAAAACACCGCTATCAATTTTCATTATTGATACATCGAATGTACCACCACCAAGGTCGAACACTAGAATATTGCTGTGGCCCTGTTTTTTATCTAATCCATATGCGAGCGCTGCAGCTGTCGGTTCATTGATGATGCGCAACACATTTAAACCGCTGATCTTGCCAGCATCTTTTGTAGCTTGACGCTGAGCTAGCGATAAACGACGAAAAAGTACGGTAAGAACAGTAGTTTGTTTCCAAACGATGTAAACAAAAAAAACTCACCGTCATTAAAGTAAGCTGGTACGGTGATGACTGCATGTGTAACATTCTCTCCTAAATATGATTCGGCCGTTTTTCGCATTTTACCCAATATCATAGCAGATAATTCCTAGGCAACGAAAGTTACACGTCAAAAGTTCCCACCAAAAGCGTCAGTTGAAAGTGATAGGCTTTGCAAAAAGAGTATCTTATCTTCTACAGCTGTCTTGTACAAATTCTGGCGTATAATATAACTGCAAAAGAAAGCGAGAAAACCATACATGTTATGGCGGGAAAATCACTTAGCCCGCATCTTCATCAAATCTCAACCAAAATCAACATTGAACTACATGACGATGAATAGCATAATTGCTCCACAAAACAAAAAAAGATTCCCACCTTCCAGTGCCAGATAGTGCCAGCTGTTTCCCATCGACCCTGTTACAGTCGCCAAGCCGCATTTGAAAAAATCCGCTAAGGGATTCTAATGAAACAGGCACATCATGAGTTCTGCAGTTTAGAGTGCAAACTGCTATTCAGTTTTACGGTTCGAAATATTTTGATGAAGGCGACACATACTTCTGGGGCAAACGTTTTTCCACCTGTTTCTGTCCATCCGAGTTTCTGCTGTAGGTACACCATCGCCCGAGTAAAACGAGATGACTTCCTGCGTATTCTAATTACTGGTTTATTGTCACGTTTAACAACTTCAGATGGAAAATGTTTTATATCCTGCTGAACAGTTTCTTCTGAAAATTCACGGCCGATTAAGCGTTTTATATCAAATATCGTATTATTTGGATTGGATAACAGCTGATTTTGAGCAGCATCTCCAACTAAACGCTCACCATCCAATGTGAAAGCAATATATGATGGTGTTATACGATTACCCTGATCATTTCAATAATTTCAACTCGTCCGTATCGGAATACACCAACACACGAGTATGTGGTACCCAGATCAATACCAATAACAGTTCCAAACTCCCCTGTTGTCTTGCAATAAACAAATGACAGTAAACAGCATATTGTCACTGGCAATGCGAATGTTCTGAACATTGATAAAACTAGACAAAGAAATTATTTAAATGAGCATGTGTGCTTTAAAGACACTGATGGCTCGGCCCGGTAACCAGCAAAACGAGCAACTAGCCTAAAAACTGACTGTTCAAGACTTTTCTTCTACTTCCGGATGTCAGATCCATTTAACCGCAGGTTTCAATCCGGGTTCCAAAGAAGAATTGCGTGGAAGACGAACAGAACCTGGTCTCCAGTTTGAAAAAATTGTCGATCCAGTACTGCGAGCTCCTCTCTTGAATTTGTTTTAGTACACAAAATATCGCAGTAAAAAATAAGCTTTTTAACGGCTGGTGTGAGTCCACAGATATTATCACTTTAGTTTGCAGTAAAAATCAGGTGGTTTTTTATGTTGCTTCACAAATACCCTTACTTCTCAGAAGCAGCGTCAAGATAGGCTACCTGAGTTTAACGATTTCTTTAGCACTGAAACAACAAATGTTCTTCTTTCAAAAATCTACCGGTACACTGAGAATGGGCCACGTAAAATAGACTAGAAAATGGCCAGGACCGGACCACAGAATCGGTCCTAATGCAACACGTGGAAAGTCCTTGTTAGTTAGTCGATTCGAAATGGTGCGTTGAGTTCCGATACCTTGTTTCGCTAGAATCCTCGTATCTATTTGTGTCTGTCTTACGAGGGAACTATCCCAAGTGTTAATCACAGATGCTAACGAGAGGTACCCCAATCGATAGAGCTCGACGAGCTGATTCTAGTGGCATAAAGCATTTTTCCCAATGTTTCTTGAAGACCCAGTTTTCTAGAAAACCAATTTTTCAGAAACTTTAAAAAATAACCAAAACATATTTAAATAAGATATAATTGTAGCGCGCACATTTCTGATTAAAATGAGACATTCCCCAGCTCTACATGACGTTTATTTACAAAGTTATAGAATTTACAAGAAAAGCCCTAAATGTTCATTGTCGGCTCAAAGCTACAGAAATAAGAAGAAATTAATTCAGGGCTTTTCTTGTAAATTCTATAACTTTGCAAATAAACGTTATGTAGAGCTGGGGAATGTCTCATTTTAATCAGAAATGTGCGCGCTACAATTATATCTTATTTAAATATGTTTTGGTTATTTTTTAAAGTTTCTGAAAAATTGGTTTTCTAGAAAACTGGGTCTTCAAGAAACATTGGGGAAAATGCTTTATGCCACTAGAATCAGCTCGTCGAGCTCTATCGATTGGGGTACCTCTCGTTAGCATCTGTGATTAACACTTGGGATAGTTCCCTCGTAAGACGATTAGTCTCTTGTAGGAGTGTCAGTTTCTTTAGATAAAGAAAACAGTGTCGGTAGATCTATTTAGCGTTACTTCAGTGTTTATTTTCGCGAAGAGAGAGAATATTGGTTTCCTAATGGGTATTTGCCATGCCCTCTATTTCTCAAAATCTATTCAGATTCGCACGCATCTCAGAAAACAAGTCAGAATGAACAATTCATCAGCATCATCTGTTCATATATTATCCATCATATCTACTCAACTTTCCCGCTACATTTTACCATTTATTATTGTAATCGGTACAATCGGTAGTTCGTTCAACGTGATCATCTTCACTCGTCCATGTTTTCGAATATCGTCGTGTTCCATGTATTTTCTTGCTTCATCTGTGCTCAACATTATTATCTATTATGGCTTCATGTGTCGAACTTGGTTGATCAATACTAACTCTATCATCGATACGGCGAACACAAGTTTAGTTGTTTGCAGAGTGTCGAATTATTTTACTTATGTTTGCTTCAATTTGCCTCCGTTGTTTATTTTGATAGCTTCGATCGATCGCTTCTGCTCGTCTTCTCCCTCCATCGTCTATCGTCAATGGAGCAAACTATCCGTATCTTATCGTATTATACCACTTACCATCTTTCTTACTTCTCTCGCTTATTTGCAAATACTACTATTCTATCAGATTGAAGGAGATTTATGTCAACCACAATCAGGTTTATATAGCCACTTTTTGGGATATTTCTCTTTAATTTTCTTTGCTGTACTTCCATCGTCACTTATGGCATTGTTCGGACTATTAACTTTGATGAACATTAAAAATCAGCGACGACGAATACTACCGGCGAGCACAACTGGTAATAAGAGACAAGCAGATGGTGAACTATTTCGGATCCTCTTTTCGCAAGTCTTGTCCTACATCGTTCTCGTAATACCCTTCAATATGATGTTTGCTATCAACGCTAGTAGTCATCCGACATCAAAAGAATTCAAGTTTGTTTTTCAGATGAGTCAGTTACTATTTTACTTCAGTTACTCAACGTCATTTTATGTGAACACACTCACTGCACGACTCTATCGTAGAGAATTTATCCGATTCTTTCGTATTGCACATTTACAAAAATCTCGACCAGTGGTGATTGTGAATTTGGCAAAATAATAGTTTTAGCTAGACCACAACATACTGAAAAGAGTGTTATTTTCAGGACAGACATAAGTGGTACTGCTCAGAACGAAAAATACAGCATTTTTCTCTCGAACAAGATAGATAGATTTCGATTTCAGCGATCAGTTATGGTCTGTTTGAAATTTAAGAAAAAGCCATAAATTCTGCTTGTGTCTATTACTAAACCACAAGTATGTCGCTTTCAGGCATAGGCGAGTCCGGGAGGGCGGGGGGATTACCGAGTCCGAGCCCATTTCGAATCCGGTAATCTTTTAGATTCTTTTTAATGAAGTTGGTTTATATTTTAATTTGCTGAGCCCTGGATAGATATTTGATTTTTCGAAAATAAGGGTACGTTTCATGTGCGTAACCCGAACAAAATTTTTAATTTCATGTGAAACAGTAGGTGTTGTTATCTCGCTTTTCATTTTTCTCCGCTCATTTTGTGTTAAAAGTGATAGATTGGACTCGAAATACAAAATCTCCAGTCCGAGTCCGTCAAAAAATCTTCTAGTCCGTATATGGTCGTATATCCGATGGTTATGGCTGTCATAAATAAAAACAAAATGTAAAGAAAATTCTTCACTCAAGCTCTGTATGTGTGTATAATAGATGACAAGGAAGAGACACAACTTAGCAATAAATACATTGATCCATGTGTAGGATAAAAGAAGACAGCAACAATAATAGGGCCTTAAGGCATAAACCGCCCAGTACGTTTGATAAAGTGCAGTATTTCTGAAAAGACTTCAATTAATTGCTTAACTGGCAGTTGTCTAACTGCTGCATTTCTCAAAAGCAGCTAGCTGATCAAGGTGAATTCTATCACAATTCAACAGTATTTTGAGTTTTTCGCAAAGCTCCTTCCTCTGCTGGTCGTAACGTAAGCAGAATAAAGATAATGAGTGGTGCTTTTCTTTCCTCCACAAGAGCAGAGTGGTGATGAGACGAGTTTACGATGATATAAAGGCTCATTCAGTTGAGGAAAATCAACACGAAGGCGGAGATGGTAAATTTCAAGTCGATGCTCAGAAACTACTGTAGTGGTAGTTTAAACGAAGAAATAAAGTTAGTCGTCAACTTAAATTTAAAAGTATCAGCCCGAAGAGTATACTTGATGTCATCCTGCAGAAGATACCAAGACGCGCAAGCTTGCCTGATAAATAACCTATCTGCGATCTGTCTACCTCGAGGAATAACTGAGATCATGTTGCGACTAACGCTACCAGTAGCAGAGATCAACCGCGTATTCACTGGTATTAGTTCCTTTAGATAACTGGCTGTTTTTCTATACATTATTTTGTGGAACAAACACAATCTATGAACATAAATAAGGTCCTCGATTGCTAGCCATCCCAAGTCGTACAACATTTTTTCATGTAATGTTCCTCGCATAGCTCCAGAAACTGCTAAACACGTTTAATACTGTATCTGATTTAGACGATTTAGATCAACAGCATCTGTCCCTCCGTATATAACTATCGCGTAACTTATGACACTAACGATAAAAGACTTATATACAGACTCAAGAGTTTGTCTTAAAACTCTCCTACTAAGATATTTCATTGAGCCAATTACATGTGAGCCCTTGACTATAACGCTATTTATATGTTCTTTCCAACTCAAACTGGGTGTCAGTATTAGGACTAAATGAGTGTACTTATCCATATAAGCTAACTTGAGATTGTTAATAACTAATGGTGGAACTGTAGACAACGGATTTAGCGTAAACAATGTTCCTGCACACTTTTTAACATTTAAAAACAGTGCCCATTTGACAGACCAAGCAGCGATTTCAGCAAGATCTTGATTCATAACTTGGACTGCCGTTGTAATGCCAGTTATGGTTATATATAAAGACACGCCATCTGCGAATAATTTACAAGTTGATCTAACCGATAAAAATAGGTCATCAATATAGATCAGAAAAAACAATGGTCTAATACAGAGCCTTGGGGAACTCCGCACGTCACAGATAGCTCATCTGATGTATGTTCGTCAACCATAGTTACAATGCGTCTGAATGATAGATAGCTGTCAAACCACTGAATCAGCAAATCTGGTAAATCCTTACTGCGAAGCTTAACCAGTAGTCCACTATGAAAAACCTTATCAAATGCCTTACTGGAATCCAAAAACGCTGCTAGTACTGGATTTCCCTCATTCAAATTATTAGCAATAAAATCGGCTATTGAAATTAGTTGATTTACAGTGGAGCCGTGAGGCACAAAACCAGACTGGTTTTTACAAATTAAGTACAATGGTATTATGTAACCTAATTGCCATGCCTTTGGAAATTCCTCATACTCTAGCCAGTTGTTAAATAACTCTGTGAGAACAGAAGCAATGATAGCTGCTAGGACTGGGAATCCTTGATATTCCTGGTGAGGTTGCCTTCGATACATTTAAATGCAGTAGAATATCAAAAACCTCAGAAACATTTACAGTAATTCCTGACATGACAATTTTTGACATTGAAAGAGATGTCTGGGATGGAGGAGAGTAGTTTGTATCCTTTGTGCTGACACGAACAAATACTTACTAGACATTCATATTTATGTGAATAAGTTTCTACCCGAACCGTTGGACTTGTATTATTAAATGGTATTGGACACAACCCATAATAATAACATTTTAGCTGAAGAGATTATTCGATTAATGGAATAAACGTTGTTTCACGACTACTCAAAATTTAGTAGTTTGAATATATTACTTGCCACATAGAATGATCAGAAGTCTAAAAATAATACAATTGTAAGAAATCATCATTCAGCCCTTAATTTTAATTTTCTTGTAATAAGAAGTATAAAAATTTGAAGGAATTTTCTCCACAACGAAAAGAAATTTTTAAAAAATCTTTTCGTAAGTTTGAAGCTTCGCTTCTAGCGGTTCTGACAACGTGCAAATATTGGGTGCACTTCTGATCATTCTATGTGGCAAGTTATATATTCAGACTATTAAATTTGAGTAGTCATGAAACAATGTTTATTCCAGTAATGGAACAATCTCTTCAACTAAAATGTTATTATTGTGGGTTGTGTCCAATACCATTTAATAATACAAGTCCAACGGTTCGGGTAGAAACTTATCCACATGATTATGAATATCTAGTAAGCATTTGTGCATGTCAACTGAAAATTTTTCTTTAATATCGTTTGTTTTTCGTAATAGAAATCAAGAGAAAACATTTTAGGAAAAAAATTTGTTCGACGAAGTGGTGTTAAATGTTTGATAAATGTAACAGAAGTAAATGCAGACGATGAGAAAAACCGAAAATACGTTTATTCGGTTTAATTATAATTGGCATTATTCTTGCTTCATTTAGCGATTTTGCCAAATCATTAAGCTACTTTTGTGATGAAGATCTTTGCAATGAATCGGCTTCACTACTGCATTATCAACAACATTATTCAATAATTTATTCCTTGTTCTGCATTCTGTTAATATATAATTATTTAACTAAAGTTCGAATTCAATTTAGCTAAAAGTTACACATATAGGCGAAAACACTACATAGATTACAAAAGACATAGAAATAGGACCTTTAGAAAGTTTCCAAAGTATCTCGTGAGAACTGATTTTTCAGATGACCTGAGGAGAACTTGTTTTCATCAAGAAATTGATCAAAACTATCATAATCGGCAGAGTTCAAAATTTCCTACAAAATCGGGCCTTGCACAGCTTTTTATGATGTTGTACTGAGCTTTGTATGATTTTACGCTTATTCTGAGAATTCTCAGCGATATGATGCAAACTGTGTCGAATTCGTACGGATACTCTTAAAACCTTTAACGAATTCATCTTACGAATTCATAAACATGCGAATAGATCAAACACGATGCTGATCAATTCGCAAATAATTCGTAAAAAGTTTACGAATTAGTGTTCACTCCTTTTAGAAATAGATTAATTCGTATTACGAACTGATTTAGTGTTTGAAAAGGGATACTTCTAATATCAATTCGGCGTTATTTTTGTAGCGTTGAATTGATGTCAAGGACAAGAAGCATTTCTATGAAGTTAAAAATAGATAGATTCGTCTCTTCATTCACACGTTTGGTTTGTTGTGTAAATACTCACAGCCACCCTCACTGCTCCCTCCCTCGCACATGCACACAGAAAAGTGAGAGATTCCCCTCTATTTTCTTCGCGAAAAACTATCGACGAAGTGATGAAAGAATTGAACAAATTGGTGCAAGGAGGACGCATGTTTTCTTAACCTCATAGAAAAATTTTTTGTCCTTGACATCAATTCGCATTTTACGAATTCGTAAAAATAGCGGCGAACTGAGCTGAGAAATATGCGAATTTTCGAATTCTATTTACGAATTCGTTGAATATGCTCTGGCATCTACGAATTCGTAACTTTGCATTTTATGGTGTTTTTTGCCGACTTACGAATTCGTATACGAATTCTTAGGCACCAAAAAGATCATTTCACGAATTCGTCAATAGTAGACCAATTTTACGAATTCGTGGGTACCCAAAATTTCTTGCCTACGAACTGATCCCAGTTTACGAATTCGCAAGAGGAACAAAATAGGCACATTTTTCGTTCTTTTTTCATCATTTCTGTTAGTTCGCATCAGTTCGCACTGCCTTACGAATTCGCGAAACAATGGTAAAATGCGAATTGTTGTATCATTTTTACGCTCAAATATTGCGATTCGTCAATTCGTCTTTAGACACTTTGTCCACACTGATGGCACAGCATTGACATTAGCATTAGCAGCGCATTTTAATGAACACGCTCGTCGCCCGAGTGCATTTTACACGAGCGTTCGTGCACTGCAATATATTTTTTTGTTTACATAATAAGAACAGCTATTTATACAGCAAGTAAACAATTGTTTAAACATTTTTTGTGCAAAAGTGTAAAGAACTTATTTAAATTAGGAATGATAATCGAGCGCCCGGATACCGAGCGCGATTCGTAAGTCAGTCACTCGCGAGGGTGCCCGCTCGATTCGCCCCCACACCTAATAGAAAACAAGAACGTTTTCTTTAGCTAAAAGAATTAACGTGAACTAGTTTTATAATGTCTAAGGCAAATATTATATTCTATCGACAATTCAAAGGTTGCTAACATAGGAATTTGTTGAAACTTCCCTGCACCTTAGGGCTCCGATTGCACAATGGAATAGTCACAATTAAGGTAAGTGTTTTGAAAATATTTGGAGGAAACTTGTATAGTGTTATGCATAGTATAGGTCGCTTGGTTTTTCTCGCCAAGCTTTATCAATTACCTCAATTAGTTCGTCGATCATCCTTAGCCACTTCTTCCGTGATACAAGGTGTGCGATGATGGCCAAAGGGTGTTCCGAAGCATGAAAATCTACGTTAGATGAGATAACCCATTTAAGTGCGTCTATGCAATGCGTCCACCTCCGATACTATCACTTCTACTTTTTTCTAGTATGTTCGTAGAAGCGTCTCTCCAATCACGCATAAGACCAATGTATACTAAAAGCAAAAGGGATGAAATGTAAAACTAATAAAATATCCGGTGCAAATCAGCTCGCAATGAAGGCGCTCTCTCTTCGTTCGTCTCATGAAGAAGGCCCTTCCTTGAGAAGCTTTAAGAAGTCAAAAATCAAAAGGGATTATGAAAATATGTTTGGACAAATGATGCTTCGTGAATTTCCCTAATGGTCAAACTTGACACGAATTTCAGACATGGACTTTCATTAGTCCTGTGTGAACAAATAATATTTCAGTAATATGAACAAATCATATTTCAGGATGGCAATCAAAGGAAAGCTTTTGCTGATTCCAGTTTAATGAGAGTGTAGTTTGCAACTGAGACATAGTCAGTCGCAGAGGCAAAGACAGCAGCCATTAAGTCTATTATTGACTTACAAATTTTCTGTACGCCCGTTCTTCCAAGGATCAGTTACGCAGTTGGAACTTCAAACGGTTTCTCTTAAAAATATTTTATTTGTATCTGTTGGACCAATTGTTTTAATCAAGAAATCGATAATGATTTGACAATGAATATTAGTTGATTGAACATGGTTCCGGTGAATCTAAATCCTGTAATAACATATCAGAAATATTTTAGATCGGAAATTAGTTCAGTGTACGCTATACAAGAAGTAATTAATTAAATCTATTTTGAAAAGCAAAAGTTTTCTATCAGTTTAAATAATGCCGAACAACTTTTATCCGACGGTGTACTTTAAAACTCCCACATAACTTGCATTATCACCATATTTAGCCCATATTGCGACATCTTGTGTTCCAACCTTAATTGTACGTTTTAGCACATTATCTTCATAACCTTGTACCGTTAACCATTTCGAATCGATTGTTAAATTCACTTCTTTTGCATCCGGTATTCGACAATGAAATGTGACTTCAGAATGTTTTTCCAATATACCATGTAGAGGAGTATAGATTTTACAATTTTGTTGATGAAATGTGCTATATCTTCTTTCAAAAAGGATGGAATGTAGGAAAATTTTTTTTTTTGATTTTATCCATTGACAAACATGGATGTTTTTTGTAAACAGTACCATATGCCAATGGAAATGTAATTGGTCCTTTTAAATCTGTAACATCTAATTCAAATCGGACTGCTAAATGAGCTACATCATCAGTGATCTTTTTAGCAAATATTGTAATTGTGTGAGCTCCTACTTGTTGAGGAGCAAATAAACATTGATGTACTGCTTTATCAGGATCATATTGTACAAGTTCACTATTTTCATATGTTTGTCCATCTTGTCTGATTGAACCTGATAATTGAACATCGGCTGGACAACGAATAAGTATTTCGGAATATGAACCAGCTTTCGACCAAGGAGCGAATGGACTACTTCTTGGTGAAATAACTTCTAAATTATATTCATGAAAATGAGGCCATGTTACAGGCATACTAAGAAATTGTTTCATAGTGATTGGTCTTGATAATAACTGCCATCTTTCATCAAGAGGAAATTGTTTATAAATCAAATGTTCAGGGCGACAGAGAAAATAGTATGTATTTAGTTGTTGTTTAAACTTTTTTCCTTCTAAATATCCCGTGCCTTGTGTACAATCGACGAGATACCAATGCTTTTCACTTTGAATTGCATTCCATACATGATTTGTATCTTCAAATTTTAATATTTTTCGTGGATTAAACGAATGAATTTTAGCATAACCGCTAATTCTTCCACATTGTAAACCAATGGCATCGGCTATAGTTTTATAGAAAATTGCATATCCTTCACATAAAGCTTTTCTACGTCGAAAAACATCTTCAGCCCCTTGTATAGGTATATCTTTTCTAAAATAAGCGTTATCATCATAATCAATATTTTGTGATATCCAATAAAATATAATCCATGCTTTATCAATCGCATTTTTATTTGACGATAAATGTTTTATTTGATCGATTAATTGTTCAAGAGATGATGGATACCAAGAGTCAACTGCATTCCGAAACGAGACATTTTCAATTGCATTTTCACGTTGTTGATAAAATGTATTGTTAAATACATTAGGATCTGATCGATTAACTTCATCTCTTAAATTAACTTCAACTCTTGGTGAATAATTTGTTTCTAATGCATGTTGAACACCGTTTGGTTGTCCATTGTAAATAGTTTGTGGTCGATAACTTGCGTAATCATCTTTAGTTTGACCACAGCCCATATTCAACAACCTTAATTCTACAATATTTAGAGAAAATCTTATTACAATAGCCCCGTATCATTTTTATTCGTTTTTTTGCTTTACTCTCACGGATAATCGTTAAGAATACATCACCACCAGGATGCTGACACTTTTACTAGTCCAAGAGCTTTCCTATACCTGACAACCTATGCGCATGTTCATCAATATATCCTTATATCTATACATTTCAAAATGTAGTAAGGTGCAATATTCAAAATTACAGCAAGATTTTTCCAGAAAATTGGGAATTAGTGGCAGAATTCCGACTTTTTCTTCTGATTTAGAAAAAACTGACTTTTCTGGAAAATGACGAAATATTTCTAAAAAAACGTCGCGTACTCTTTTTTCTAAGTATACCGATTAGAAGCAAATAACAATTGATGCTTAGTCTTTCAATGGAAAAAACTAGATACGTTTGCAAATTTAGCAGTATGGCTTTTACTATTCGGCTCCTGTTCCGTGGATTTGACGGTCAATTTCAACTTCAAATTTTTGGAATTCAGTTTTTTATACTCAGTTTTTGATGAAAAACCAGAAAAAAATAGGTTTGGAATTTTAGAAAAGCAATAAGTATGAAAAATTTCCTTACTTTTGAAAAAATGTTTTCACGGTTTTTTGCTTATTTTTAAACGATGGGTATTTTAAATCTTTTCACCAAAAGATGTACGATTGCGTTTTCCCGATGCAACTTAATGAGCTCTATCGAATCATGCCCAAAAAATGAAAAAAAGTCTTGCTGTAATTTTAAATTACCGGCACCTTACACTATGCTGTTTTATGAATGACACTGTTATCTTTCACAAATCTCTGCAAGTGAACAATCTAAGAAAATTGGAAGCTTAGATTAGCGACCACGGCACAGTGTTTATTTTCTGAAAATAACTCAAATCTTAGTGAAACCTAGTATTACAAAAAGTAGAGTTTAAAAGGTTATTTTCATCCAGTAGTAAAAAGCTCATAACTCAACCAAACTGCTTCGTACTTTCGGAGGAATAATGGCGGTACGCTAATGTGACTTTCGCAAATTGTCGAAGGTCCACTTAAATTTCGCCAACTGACGAATGACTATGGAGTGCATTGGCGGAAGTCTCACAATGCAATTCATAGCTTTTTTTCCTTTAAAAACAAGTAAGATGAATGTGGTCATTCACAGGTCCGTTCGCTTGAATGTTCAGTCAGTATTCCATCGCATGAGAACCAAAAAGTTTTACATAAAATCCGCCAGAAACGCGAGAAATTTTATGCAAAATAAGCCTAAGACTGAAAAAATCATCTGTAGTCCGCATCATTAGTCCACATAAGGCCCTTTTCCACCCGGGTCAGAAATGCTGATTTACGTCAAACATATTGATTTGAGAAAAGCACATGGTTGGATAGCCAAAGTGTATACTTTCTAATGGCATAATTTTTGTGTCGATAGGATAGGTTTTTCATAGCTTTTGAGCGAGTTTTCCAGGCGCCCCGTAGCAAAAAGATGGCTTTTTTCACTTGTATTGCGTAAGCGCACGCACGTGCCGCACATGGTCGCGCACATGCTCATTAGATCCGCGCTATGACCGATAATTTCTAGCAAAATAACAACAAATTATTTAACGCTCAAACAGTTTTTAAGTAAAACACATTTAACGGGATCAAAACTTATTTTGCGTTTTTCTTAAGACCGCTTTTTAGCTTAAGGGCTTTCGCCTCGCACACAATTCTCGGTAACGACGTATTGAAGAAACAAAATTGTTTTTTGATTTGTAAATAACACCTATAGCTAGGACTTGACAGAGTCCAATTTTTAAATTATGCTTCTGTTTTTTATAGAAATGACGATTTCTAAGAAATCTTTCCAGGATTTTTCGGATTTTAAAGTTCTATTAAACACCAGAAACCAGTAAATGAGAAATTCAAAGACCGGGCTTCAACTCCTAGGCATAAGAGTTTACTGCAAAACAAAAACAGCCCGAGCTCTACCACATTTATCCGGAATGATAATTTCTGTGCGTGGCAGACGCCTACTTCTGGTCCTTGTTGTGGCGTCCTCTCACAAATAGTAGCAAATGACGCCAAAAAAGAAATTTCGTTACCACACGTTGACGTGGTCAACATTCCCTAAAAATTCAGTTCGGATCAGACCTACCTGGGCTGAGATAGGTTTCTGACTCGGAGAGAGGGCTTAAGATTTGAAAACACTTACACAGAATA